TTTTCCCTTAAAAAAAATTTAATATTTAAATTAAAATTTTTTTTTTTTTTTTTAAATTAAAAATTTTAAAAAAAAAAAAAAAAAAAAAAAAAATTCCCCTTCAAAATTGAAACATTAATTTTACAGTCAGCTTGCTTCCAACGTGCAACATATCTACTCTTTGTACCCTCTTTGTTATGTTAGAAATGGGATTCGGATATTCTGTGAGAAACTGACAATAATCAGCATGCTTTCTGTAATTGTGATAATTTAGCTGTGTCATCATAAAAAAAGTGTTAATTATTTTATCAAAAGATGTGTCAGAATAAAAAGTAAGATGGAACTATTGCAGACATAGAGTTGATGCTGTCAACCATTTGCGCTGCTAATGTCAAGTAAAAACAATGTTTTTACTTTGAAACCAAAACAGACATGGGAGAATTGATCATGTTCTTTAGAAAAGGTAAACAATTTAAATAGACATTGCACACACACTAGTCCGATGATTGCAGAATGGCAGAGGCATCGACATAATGAAATGTGCATTACTAAAACAGCAACCTACAAGGCCACATTAAATCATTTTAAATTGCATCTGAGTTGACCTGATTCTAAAGTATGCCTCATGCCAAAATCCATGCAGACAATAAGGTAATATTTTTCTGCTAGACAAACTGTGAAGTGTTTTGATTTATATCCTTTTTTTTTTTCCAGCATTTAATAATTACTTAAGTACACGAGTGCTAAAAAGTCAGACTGCAGCAGACACAGTTATGCCCTTTGTCTATGTCCCACCTTTTAACAACAATACTCCTGCTTATGTTTCACTCTCGTTGAGTCTTCGAAGGCTTTGGTTTTGTCACTCATCTGGTTGCGGATATAAACCAACACGTCCCCAGCCCAAAAATAAGCCCTCTATGACTCCAGCTTTGAAATGGGATCTTAAAAACAAGAGCTTGGCCCAGCCACACTCTTTAATTAGGGAGGCCCACAGATGCCTGTGTTCTCGTCCTTTTTACGCACACACAGACACGCTTATACGGACGAGTACACACTGTACACATTGAAATTGCACTTCAAAACATTTAAAATATTGTAAAAACAGAAGGGATCGAACAGAAGAGCACAACACAATAAATTGTGTATTTATAACACCTTTTTCTGACAGATGACGTGTTTTTTTTTTTTTTTTTTTTTTTTTTTTTTTGTTTTCTTTTGCTGTGAACTGAAGCTGCTTGTGCACTAAAATGTCATGAATGGTTCCTTCCCAAAAACCTCGCTGGCACACCCATTGGTTTCTGTGTTGCGTGAATGAGCTTGCTGTCATTTTCTATCTGTGCGCTTTTTCAGCCATTCTTTATCATGCTAATGTTTTTCAATATTCCTCCACAAAGAGCATACATTGCTCATACAAAAGATGGCTTCTCACAGACTTGTTAAAGACACACACACATACAGACTTGCGCACACACACACACACACATTTGACAGAGTCCCATTTCAGTGGCCAGTGACAGTGATTTCTTGTCTGATTCACTCACTGATACAAAGAGGTTCATACACTAACTTTAGGGACAAACATGTGTAAACAAGCATGAATCATTTACCCAACCGAACTAAAAAAAAAAAATAAAAATAAAAACATTCTAGTGTCCAAATAAAAAATGATTGTGCTCTTTCATAGGGCCTCAGAATGAGAGCAAATGGATCTTTTTTTTTTAATTTATTTATTTCTCTTCATTTACAAATTCACTCTAAGAATTTGCATCCTAATATGTGTCCTCCATATCTATCTCATAAAAAGCTTTAGTTTTTTACTAATTTCAATAATGTTTTGTTTTCCCTGCACTAAAACTGTATTGCTACATAATAGTACTGTGCTCACATTTCTTTTGTTTTAGTTTTTTGTCCAAGCAGATTTTCTTTTTAGTAGGCTATTAGAATAAAATGGTATATATATTTAAATATATGTACCCTGGATTTGTAAGAAAAAATGCACTGTAGTCTAAATATATGATACATCAATCAATCATCTTTATTATCCTGAAGAGGCACTTATTGTACTTTATGAATGATTCTGAGTCCCATTATAAAATATTTTTCAAAAGACTTTATGCAGCATTGTGTTAAGTAATTTCACAATTCTTCGCTCTTCAAGTTTTCCATGTTTTTCTGTTTATTATGGAGATCCAAAGCTGCCGTCTGAGGGGAACGCAATGTTCTGAAAGTTGTCCTCACTTCAGGCTATTGTGTAAAAACACAGATGCACACAAACGCACAGATGCATGCATACATGTGCAGCATGCCGCTCTCCCTTTGCATAAATTGACACATGAAGCATATAATTCTCCATGTAGGGGCCATTTAAGGGGGCATCAAGGCCCATTTTAAAATCTCATTAGCAGGGCAGCTGCACTTAGCACCCCATGCTGGTGATTGAGGCTCTCTTTTTGTTTTGTTTTTATTGTACTTGGGTCCCATGCAGAACCGTTGCACACCCGCCACCTTCCCAATTCTCAGGCCTCAAAAAGAAATAATGGCACCCTCAGAGGCGAACATCGGGAGGTTCAGAAGGTCGGATACAGCACATTTACTTTACTGAGCGCACAGACAGATCGTCTCACACTGTACTGTAAGATATAATACACTTACGGTAAAGACAGACCAATTACAGTCAAAACACATATAATTATGTTGACACAACTAATTTAAAAGAAAACATCTGATTTATTTGTCACCAGATCACAGGTCAAAGACAACCACACAGTTCATATCCAGGCCATTCTATAATCAGTTTTAATCAGTCTAATTCATTCCAGTGTGGTATAAAGATATAATTAGGTTTAACTGCAATTATATCAAACCAGTTCAATCAAAATACAATACAGCAAAATAAAGTTTATCCTTTTAATGCCAATGATAAAAAAATATATATATATCAAATAAAACTGAGCTGGTCACATCAAGTTGTTGACTTTGCAGGAATTCATCTCTTGAGCAAGCATGAGGTGAAATTGGAGAATAACACCTCAACTTTAAAAAGAAATAATCTCCAGGACAAGAAGGATCAGTTCGGTCGGCCATTTGGGGATTGATGAGATAGAAGTGAGAGAGGAAAAACACAGAAGAGCTACTTCAGTAGATTGTGTGGCAAACAAAAGCAAAATAAACACAATGTGATTAGAAGCAAAACTCTGCAAAGGGCCAGGAAAGTCCATTGGAATTTAAAAGATCTGAAGCAGAAGTTGAAGATTTAAACAGATGAGAAGTAGACATTTTCTACGGTAATCAAAAATAGAGTACTTAATTGCTGCAATAGCACAAAACTGTCTAAGTCCAGGAAAGAAAAATAGTCGAAAAAAGAAGCACATGTGCCTTATGTGGAAATAATCCTTGCTGAGTTTTAATACATGGGTAGTGGCAGCAATGGTGACATCAGTCATTTCATTTGATAAATAAACCTGGACACAGAAACACAGAACATGGAGTACTTTGTTTAAAAGAAATACAGAGACTATATATAGTTAATTGAAGCAGTAGCTGTTTTAATAACTTTTTCATGAAAGAGACAACTAGTTATTGCATAATGACGCTATAATTTATTGAAAATATAAACAAAGGAATTCAATGGCATCAGTAACTCCATCATTTACTTTATTCATAAAAAAAACAAAGCTAAGCACAGAAGCACTGAGTATATAACATACATTTAGAGGTAGAGATTGACACAAAGTTAATGATGTCAGCATCTCAAACAAGTATTTACCAGGTGATAACCCCCCCCCCGCCCCCCCCCAAAAAAAAAAAAAAAAGTTTATCTGAGAAAGCAGCAATAGGTTTGTCAAGGTTTTTGTGCAAGAAGTGTAGCTGAACACATGAGCCTTGAGCCAAGAGTAATTTCTGTAGGAAAGGAAAACAAAGACCATAGAATTTTTTTTTTTCTTTTACAAAAATAGCTCTGCTCTTCCCAAAACTAAACACAGAATCACTGAGTTAGGGATGCCCTCTATAGAGGGGAAACTTACATCTAACTAATAACAGTTAATGAAAACAATAGTTACATTAAAGAGTTCATAACATCTTTGTCACTGAAAACAATAATTTTATTATGAAGTTGTCACAATGTAATGCATGATTAAAAAGAAAAAAATGTTAATTGTCATTGGAAATAAATTTCCAATAGTGCTTTCCACTGTCATGAAAGTTGGATTCAAAACCTTGTTTCTCAATTTTCTTAGCTTTGCCGGTTTGTGTTCCACGTAGTTAAAACTTAAACTGATGTCATTTACACATTGTCTGGACACATTCAGGCTGTGCCCTTTGCTTAAATCTTTGTGAAACAAAACATCCCAGAGAAAGAACTTTAAGCTCCCTGAAGCTTACTTTTTGCATGATGGGAGCTACAAATCACAAAGTGTAAAAAGGTAAACATTCTAGGTGGCTGGTACACACCTTTGGGCACAGATCTGGCACTGTGTCTGTACAGAAGGCAATGAAGGGTGAAGTAAAAGTGGAAGTGTGAGAAGAACAGCAAATAAATAAAAAAGTCTGTCAAAATAATTCAGCAAAGTGTGGATTTTGGCAGCAAGTATTTTTACACTCAACACAACCTCAGAGGCTGTACTTTGGGAGAAGGTCATGCAGGACAAAGTAGAGAAGTGCCATAAATGAGGTGCCGGCAAATGTCTCTCTTTTCCCTACACTTCCTGTCCGTACTTCCTAAGCTTTGTTTCTGGAATTCCTCTTCTAACACGTCTTCTTGTTTTCCAAGTAGTGCACAGCTGGGCATCTTTAAATTAATAGCTAATTATATTCCCAAGAGGGATGAGCAGCAGTGCTTCAAATAAAATACTTTTGTGTTTAAGTGAATGATGTTAAAATATAATGATGTGCAGCCTGTGCATATTTTGTTTGGGTTTTGGTAAAAATGACTCTACAAATGGGAGGAGTTGTTTTCTTACAGGCCCCTCTGAGTCAGTTTTGCTCTAGCAGTTATAACTGTATGCCAACAGGATTTTTTGTTTTTTTTTTCTTTTTTTTTTTTTTTTTTTTTTGCTCCAGCAAAAGCAAATATTGGTTTAAAATTCAGGCAGTGCACTAAAACCTTAAGATGACCAAAAACATCTGATATAAACTTAGAGTCAGAGTTGTCAAAGTAATAGAGCCTGAACAAAATTCCTTTTTAGATCACTAGAGGCCTTAAGTTCTGTTTTAAAAGCTTTAAGTTGCTGAGATAAGAAGACTGAGATGGAAAATTTTCATCAAAAGACAGCGTTCTGCACGACTTTTGCACCTCCAATCAAATGCGACCCGGTCACTTAAATGCACATGCACATTTTTTTTTTTTTTTTTTTCCTGCTTACAAAATTTAGCACTCCTTACTGGGAATCTTTGTAGATCAGCACCATAGAATGTGTGTCTCCTAAGTAATTGCTGAATGTCCTTGCCACAAAATGTAAAAAGAGACGAGGGAGGAGAACATCAGATAGCACTGTGCCCACCTCCCCACACGCACATGCACCACATCCAGCAAGATGGACTGATAGACGTGATTCTGATGGAGAGAGGGTGTGCTTGAGACAGGATATTAGAATGGACATTTCCTTCTTCCCAATGCCACGGGCAGGGCCCTCTTCCATTTGTCTTCAATGTGAAGAGACGCAAGAGAAAGATAAAGACTTGAGCTGAGCTGACAGGCTGCTGGAGTGCCGACCTGCTTTTGCTGTTTTTGATTTGATCCGGAGAGCATGATGCTGATGGGGAATTTTCTTTGGGATGATAGATGGGTAGAGATGATGCACGTATAAATGCCTGAGGTTGTATGTATTTGATGGTGAGGAGCAATAATTGTACATTAATTTGTCCTTTGTTGAGTCATGTCTCTCCAGGCCAGGCAGAAGAAAGAGGCAAAAATAGAGAGATCATAAGCATCAATAAAAACAACATATAACATGTTGGAAAAGCACTATTAGTTTACCCATTACATATATGTTTTTATTTGTTTTCTTGAAATTTTTAAATTTTCAATAATGTTATTGGATGTTTCTTTTTTCAGTTAATGTAGTACTTCACTGGAGCACTCTGGGTAGTTCAGTACGTTTATTTAAAACAAAATCTGGGCCAAACAAATTGTACAAATAATTTATATGCTGCTGGAAGACATTATAAGAAACACATGCAGCATGACAACAATGCATCACCTCCCATCTGATTGGCAGCAGCTCTATGTGGATGTTTGCGTTTGAGTGCCAGAACACCCAAGTTACAGTGAATGTGTTTCTGTTTGAGGGGATCCCATATGTGAGAATGCATGCATGCATGCCCATTTCACCCAGGGCCTACTGGGGAAACGTATGAAGCACCGTTCCCTACTGCAGAATGACTTAATGTAGAGAGCAATGCATCAATCTGAATCAAATTCCTGACACATTATTAGATATGAACCCTGCAAATAGTCACCATCCACATCCGACAACTCCACCATGACATGCTTGCATGTTCTTCACAGAGACGTTCAGATGAACAAGTGCGGTTAACAAATTACATTCACCGTGACCCCTTTTTTTTTTTTTTTTTTTCATCAGCGGCAGCTTTCATCTGACATGACCTCATTAGGATGTCAGAGTGGATCCATATTTGCTCTCAGTGCTTAGCATGTGAACTGACACATAAGTTACATAGTTAACAAGCAGCCACGCGTGAATGAGACATGTGAACCGTAATGTAATGAGCAACATCCCGCCACATATGTCTGTTCGTCCCACCCCATCCTGGCCTTGAGCCGAGCAGCCCGGTGCCTCCAGAGCTGAACCAGATGAATATGTTTTACACAGCAGAATTGAGTCAAATCCCAAATTTATGAGGCAGGTTTCACTGTGTACATTTTGTGTCATTCAGTCTGGCACTGGGTGTATATTAAGCCTCATTTTATATTTAATGTTGGCCTGCGATGGGATCTGATTCATAATTTCATAAAGTGATGATATTATAAGAGATTTGATATAACATAGATGTAAGAAACAAAATGTGTAAATTGATCATTTCTTATTCTCCAACCCTCTCTTTACATTTATCATCAAATGTGTCCTGTTTCATTCTATTTGCTTACACTACAGATTATCTTGAGTGTCAATCTGAATCGTAATGGTGTGGCTTTTATTAAGTGAGACAGTGACCTTTTTTTTTGGTTTGTTTTTCTGTAGTCAACTAATGAGTACCGGTTTGTTCCATAGCATAAGGAAAGTAGGTCGGCATCAAAATGCTGTAAAATTAATTTTGTATCTTGTCGTTCAACAAAGAGAAGGCCGCAAAGCCAAATGAACAATTAGACAAATGAATCAAGAAGTAGACAGAGAAGAACTAAATGGATAATAGGAAGAGCTTTTGGAGTACATTTTTCAGCAGACCCCATGACAACATTGATAAATGCTACCTACGTGGCATTTGACAGTGACTGATTGTGGTTGCGTTAAGCAACTTCCAGGTCAGGATGTGCGAAGAAACACTCTTCTTTTACTTGCTTTTTATCAAGAATAGCTAATTAGATTAAAGAAAATAACGCTGTGTAATATTTAGTTTCGTTTTCTAATTGTAAAGCCAGCCTAAGGCCTCGAGCCAACATTGTTTTAGTCAAGTTGCTCCTTGTTTCCCAAATGTCATGAGCCAAAATAAAGAGGGCAAAGCTTCTTCGTACTATAACTTCAGGACTGTGGAAACTCTTATCTTGTCCATCTTTCCATTCAGGGAAAATCACAGTAGGCAGTGGATCAAATTGTTGATGCAAGGTTCTGACAGGGAAGCTATGTAGGAATTACAGCTACTTTTAAAAATAGTTTTGACTTCAGATCAGTGAAGTATGATCTGAAAGAAAATTCTGGCACGGATTTGTTAACAGTCTTAAAGGAAGTATTAAAATGTCAGATAGGGGGAGTGAGCACACAGAGGCAGCATATTTGTGAATGGGTTATCACACATACAGACCTTGTCCCTGCCACCTAATACTCACGGCAGGGTCCAAGGTAAACACAGCTGTGAAATACCCTGGGTGACTGCACAAGTAATAAATCTGTTTGACTGCACTGCTGCTACTTCAGGCCTCCCTCGGCTTTCTATCTCTCCGTTTTTAACAAAGCGACAGTCGTACAGCTTATGTAGGCAAATGCAAGATGGCAGCAAACCGAGATTGGCAACGAAAAAGAATTAAACCTACAAGATCTGCAAATTCTCTCACCTTGGCCTTTTCTGTCCTGCCATATTTACTCTGAGTTTGTTTTGTTTGAAGCAGCATGCTGCTTAGAAATAAAGCAAATATTACTACAAGTAAATTTTGTGTATGAGTAGCTCCATTTAAGAACCTGGAAAGGTCAAAAAGATGAGCTGACTGTAAAACACTGTTGCCAGAGAATAAAACTGGCAACAGTGAAACTGTTTATGTACCGTATGTGATAACAGTTTTATCACATAAAATACAAACAATGTGAGTAAATTATCAGCATTGTAATTTCTGCTAATCTGACCAACATTCTTCATGTTTTAGAGGCAGACAGCCTCCCAAGAAAAATGATTAATCCGAGCTACACAGACCATCTCCAGTGAAAATTATAGACTTTAAAATTTTAGCAACAAAAATTCTTTAGTATTTGGAATATGACTTTTATTTTCAGCGACATAAATGCTGTGTAAAGAAAACAAAGTTTTTGTACAACTGCTAAACCTTAGTGAATCAATATCTCACAAACTAATAACTTGTCATTATTTGCAAAAACAATTAAATTAACTATATTGACAAATCATCCATGTTGTGATTACTGTGAGAATTTCCCTTACGTATAGCAAACGTGTCTCAATAGTTTTTTTTTTATTATTTTTTTTATAGCAATCTCTGTCATGCTTTGTCACCTCACTGCGGACATCTCTTACAGGCATTTTGGTCCAGATACAGGAATAGCAGCTTTGTCATTCCTCTGACATTTTTGTTTCTCCTGTCAAGAGGTGTTGAATAACCTTGAAGAGAAAGTAGTGAAGGAGACCGTGAAATGTTCTTTTTCAAACTTTGCATGCCCAAAGCGCCCACCTAACACATTAGCCCTGCCCATGTCAACAAAGTCAGACTGAGGCATTGGTTGAGTTGCCAAGAAGATATCTTAATGTCACCACAGTCTTAGGTTTTTTTATGCACATGTGGACTCATTTTATTCAATGCATGTAACTGCGAGAGCCATATAAGCTTATTTATTTGCTTCAAATGTATTTGAGTGGGAACACAATATAAAACCATATTTTGTTTATTTTGTTTAAAACATATTTTGTTTGTAGGGGCTCTAGTCAGAGGTTAAGCTTTTTAAAGTCACGCTTTCAAATTAACAATACTGTTCTCATTGTCTGGCATTAAATTGTACTATTTTTTTTCTGTTTAGGTACATTTTAGAGGATTTCTTTCAATCCACTTTAAATTTAGATGTTGGTATTAGTTTTAAGTGTTTAATGAAATTATTTTTAAACTAAATGGATCACACGTTTTACATGTCCTTTCAAAAGTTTCTCTTGTACTCTGATGGGATGTTTGCCTATTCTTTCTGAGTAAACAGAATATCAACAAACATATATCCCTAAAACACAACTACTGTTATCTACAGTTTTACAGGACAGGCTGGTCTAATTCAAAGAACCAAACTCAATTCAACTGAATCTAATTTATTTTATCCAGTATAATACAACTAGATTAAGAGTCAGTTATGCAGTTCCAATTTACAATGCAGTCACATTCAATTTATACGCATCTGTGATTTTCTGTTTAACAATACTCAACGAGTAGCATGAAGCCAATGACGTCGCAGACAGCCCTCGTTCTGAACTAGCATGTGGTGACGCTGGAGAGTAATTATTCCATTTTAGCAGAGAGAGACATCCAGCAGAACTTCAGTCCACGAAAAGTAGCCATACGTTAAGAGGATTGGAAGGAGTCATAAAAGAAACACAGAAGCACTGATCCAGGAGAGCATTCAAAGTGAATGAGAGTGCACACAACTACCTGAAATATAATATCTGTTATATAACACGGGTAAGAGGTACTTCACTTTTGATCTGAAAAAATGTATGCTTCCACCGTTAAAACGCACGGCCCATTTTAATAAGAAAATCCTCCCTTCAGAACCAGGCTCAGTGTCAGCATGTACTCTGACCGGCTGAGTCTTAAAAACCATTCTACGATTACCAATTTAATTTAATTTTTGTTTTCATGCTGTTGAGAATAAATAATTCTGTGTTTTGCTTCTATCTCTTTTAGCTAGTTGCAAAGATAAAGCTAAAGGAAATGACATGTTGGGAAATACCCTCAAAGCTAAGATTAAAAGACATGACACACTAGGGAACGCCCTCATTAGATGGAGGCTAACAAGGAGAATGGAAAACTTTTCTTTGATGCCATTTTGTTCTGCTAGCCCTTAAGGATAGCATGAACTATGGACCAGCTGTATTTTGGTATTAATAAATTGATTCATGAATTCAACTCACTGACTCTTTGTTAACCTCATACATCAAGAACTTAGCATGGAGAAGGATAATTCTCCACAATGCACAAGCAGTTATCATATTTAGAGAGCAATTGCTTTTTATGCATAAGGCCAGGTTTATTTAATATTTTTTTCCCATTTTAAATTAATCTATTTCTTAAACAGTTTTTTTTTTTTTTTTTTTTTGTAATTACTCAGGCTATATTTGAAGAAAATGTTCAAATGACATATGTGTCTTTACTTATTTTAATGCCAATTCTCACTGGAACAGTTTGAATCAGCTAAATAACAAAGGTGAGGGAAATTTGACCAAGAGGAGCCAAGTAATAATGTTAACAAATGATTAACTACATATTTCTCGTGCCAAGAGCTTGTGTCATCGGGACACAGTTGGATTAATGAAAATAAATTCAAATCCAATCTGACATCCAGACCTTTTTATACAATTTGTTCATTTCTTCAGTGACAGTCAGGGGACAATTTTAATCAGGTTTTAAAATCTTTTTCATCACGCGAAACAGCAAATGGTGATTTCTACTTTTAACACTGGCTGATTGTTATGAACACACATTTTAAGCAGCAAGGGAAGCACAATTACTTGGTCGTGTTTTGACAAGATGTAAAATACATAATTTAAAATCTCACTCTACTGTCTCCTGGAGAGACTTTGTCAGCCACAGCCACAAATAATGTTTATTTTCCATTTTTAAATAGTCCCTAATACTTTGGTTATGAAGATTTTGAATGTGCAAAGGAGCATCTTTTTGTCGATTGAGTCACATCCAGAAGCGCTTCTGTGGCTGCAGAACAGCCTCTGGTATTAGCATGTATAAACAGGCTTATAAATGGAGCACTATTTCGCTGTTCATTTTCATCCTCTTAACAGTAAACAAGGCGGAACAGGCCCTGACACCCTGAATAAATAGAGACCAATGCACACAAATTCAGCCGCACCGAGAAACCGTGGGGGTTTGTTTGAGTTAAGGTCAATCCTGTTTAGATTACTTTGGTCATAAGCCATTTTTTTGAGTTCTGTTTGCTGAGCTTTCTCTGCGGAGGATCATGTATTCATGTATTCTGAAATCTGACGTTGTAATGAATATGACAGCGTCTGCAAGGGTTGTAGACTTACTTTCGAGGTGAGCTCTGTTTGTGTGTTTTGGAGAGGGCTGGGGGTTTACAAAAGAATCTGCACAGAGGGTGCACTCTTATGCAGTATAAATAAATGTACACTTTGCACAGACCCATGGGACCATGGATACTTTGTACTATACATCCATGCATATGTTCAGTATGTGAAAACTAATCTTGTCATGTGCTTTTGTAAGTGGTACTACAGTCCATGTGTTTTTGCTATAAGAAATTTAAAGGGACTAAGATTTGTTTTAACAACTAAAAGCTGACATGTCACCATATATCAATTATACCAGCATTATTTTTTGTAGTAACTATACTTGAATTTACCTAAATGTCTTTTAAACAGCTACTATATTTGGTTAGTTGCTCTACTGAGAAAATAGAGCAGAACCACAGCTTTACCCACTAAAGTTTATGAAAGTTCCTCAGGACTTAGGACTGATAACAATATGTCTGTTTACATGTTGTTGTTGTTTTCCAACTCTGTAGAATTAGCAAAACTAACTGCAACTGCATCCACTTTTCAATCTTATCTGTGTTGATTTGACTTGATAATGGACTCTGGTTAAAGTAAGAAAAGAAAACTGCTGAGTTGCCGTCTTACTGGAATATCTCAAAACATCTTCTACATGGATCTAAGCATAAAAAAACAATGGACATTTAAATCAGTCTTGTGTCCTTTCAAAACATTGAAGTTTGTGGGATGCTTGTGAAGCACACGCATTTTCTATAATGAAGTACGAAGGATATAAAAGACATGATGTACCACTATGCCAGGAAAGATTGTGCTGCTTTTGTAGTAATATCCCTGTCTTCATTTCATTTAATTTTTTTTTTCTGTTCTGGAACTTCATCTTTCCACAGCTCCCCTCGCCTCACTGTGGATTGCTTCTGAACTATAATCCTTTACATATATATTTTCTACAAAAATCACTTTGTTCCATCACTACATTACCGGCTTGAGATGTTTTTTTTTTTTTTTTTTTTTACCTGCTTTTTAAAGCCTTACTATTTGGATTTGGGAAAATGACTCTGTTCTTATGGATCAAAGAAAGATTCCTTACACTGAGCAATGTAAGTAATCTGAGTTCAAGAACGTCTTAACAGAGACCAGATATGTTTTAACCAGTCTTTGGCTGAGGTTCGGACTGGGCCATGGAGAAACGTCCTTTGAGGGACTGAAGACTGGAAAAGCTGAAGAAGCACAGGGAAATAACCTCGTCACACAGAATGCTATTTGGTGAAGAGTTTTAGAAGAAGTGCTGATAACTTGCACTACCTGCACACTGGCAGGCACCCATGGAAGAAAAGGAGCGTAGCACACTGCTAAGCGGAAGGGGCAGCAGAGGTACAGGGCATGACAGTGATATGTGTTATGGCCTTTCAGAACTTTTCAAAGTGTCAGCATTACTGTCACTTGCCAAAGGCTCTTTGAGCAGCACATGATGTGTTCAAGAGCACTTCAGTTTAGAGGGCCTACCAGTTGGATAGCAAAAATCTTTTATATCGTAGGTGCATTGTTAAAAATTTGTTTCCTGTGGAGTCATTGGATATAGATCGGTGTGTAAAAAAAAAAAAATAACGTGGAAAATATAAGATTAGATTTTACAAAAGTGACAGACTGTCCTTTGAACTAGTCAGTTCAAAGGCAGAGCTGCACTCAAATGCATGGCAGTAATTTCAAAATTGAAGACAGGTGTATTTTACTGCGATATGTAAAACAAACTCCTGTCTGGGCAGCTGGATGAGTTGGGAGGTTATGGTACCCATTTAGTAAACTCCATCAGTCTCCCTTTAATAACACAGATTATAACACTTGAGACAAAGCAGCATGTCATTGTGAATGGCCCCCTCTTGGCTCGTGCCAAACAAAGATGTGACTAAGAACGAGGATTGCAATGGTAAATCACACTCGGATACGTCTGCCTTCACTAACATAGTGCAGACACCCCGCTCCCTTTAGCGACCTGCTTTGAGTTATTTATGATGTCGAAACTAATCTCACTTAGTGCTACAGGCTCTCCAAAAAGGGGGCCCTCCTCCTGAGTCGACTGCCGAGCAAGGGATGAGGAACAGATTGAGGAAAGGAGAGCAAGCGCAGAGCCACCGAGGACTTATTCAAATCCTCCCTCATAGATTAGCAATCGCAGCTTGACAAGCCGCCCTGCAAGTTATAATATATTAATTTTTTTGGAAATCGATGCTGCTTCTTACTAAGATGTCGGAGAAAAAAAAGGGGATGGGGAGGTGGGGGGCGGGTAATCCGTTTGGAATTTACAGGCGATGAAACATGAGACAAACTCACCAACATGTCATCGAGTACTGAGGACGGAGGAAGTGAAGTATTTAAATGAGGTCTGGAGGCATTAAGGCAGCTGTCATTCTGATTGGCGCGCTCTGGCTTTGTTTGTCCACGATGGTTAGAAGCTCCCACTGTACGGGCCTGTAAGACTTATGAACATTATGCTTTATATTTATTACAAACATCATGTTTTATGCTCATACTGTGACTTTGTATGAGCATGTTCATCTTTAAATGTACAGTGTATGCATAGTAGCTTTAGCTCCGTGTAAAATTAATATCCCAACACGTTTCAAAAGAAAAATACAAATATGGCCTTGATGCCCATTCTTCTGTGATTTCTTTCTCTCTTGACAAAGACTTAACCCATTAAGATGATCTTTCTGCTAAAACAAACGGAACGTGACAAGTAGTGTCTGACGGAATCAACACATCTCCATTGTTGCAGCTTCCTCACTGGGACAGTGTTTTAAACAGATAAACAAAGCGTGCAAGTGAAAGCCAGTCACCGGTCTCTCTCTGCTAATGCTGTCATTAACAAAAAAGTTCAGTTGCTTTCATTAATAGGAATAGAAAAAACCATGAGAAGTAGCATCGCTGCACCCAGTGCACAATATAATGATGAAAAGAGATTTTCATTGATGCGTTTATTACAGGGTTCTTCAAAAGACAATTTTAAACCAATCTTCAGTGCACTTTTCAAACTTAAACATACTGCTCTTGAATGAATGAATATGCATGAAATATTAGCTGTAATTAGTGATATGCTTGGCTACTCCTAAGCTTCACTGTTTTTATTTCTGTGTGTACAAGGTCCATACAATGTTGGATACAAATTTTCTCATTTTTTTCTGCATATAGTTAACTTTAAATTAAACAAATCGGTTTCAGTTTAAGTGCAGACTTTCAAGTTTAATTAATTTAGTGGGCTGAACAAAAAAGATTGTATAAAACCATGAAGAACTGAAGCATTTTATTTTATTTTTTACACGTTTTCTTTATTTCAGCCCTCAAAAGGGAGAGAATATATTAAATAACTGATTTTTTTTTTTTTTTTTTTTTTTGCCCTTTTAGATCTTCTCTGTAGCTGCTGAGTTGATATATTAGAATAACAGCAAAGTATCTGCTACAGACCAGGCCAATTATAATCTGAAGAACTTGAAGAGAAAAATGTTAGAATCTAAAGCACCAAACAGCATAAGAAACATGGTGAGATTTGTTGACGGTTGAGTTTTTTTTTTTTTTTTTTTTTTTTTGGGGGGGGGGGAATTTGTGGGTTTTTTTTTTTTAATTAA